GGGGGCTCATATTTTTAACGGATGCCTCTTGTATGTCTTGTTACCACTGGTGGATTATACACAAAGACACACGCTGTCAAATAATGTGAACACGTAATTGACAAGTACTCATGTTCATTTCTTTCAGCTGTCGTGGCTATTGATCCAACAGAAGTTCCTTTAACAGGTCAGAGTGGTAATTTTTTGTGTATATTTGCCCTTATGCCATGCTATTGATAAATATTTTTTCTCCTGTTCAATTTAATCTTGAACTTCTTTGACATAAAGGAAAGATGGACAATTATTCTTGGAATTGTGTGTCTTACATTTTTAATATTTTCACTAATTTTTTAATATATTTTTTGTTTCATTTTCTTTTATACATTCAATCATGTTATTTAGCTTACAAAGTGAATATTTCAACACGTGAACATGTCTCCCTAGTCCAGTTAATAAAACTATAAAATTATCTTCACTAACTTTTTATTTATTGAATTTTGGTATAGATATATTGGGTTATTGGAAAAGTCAAGACTCGTTTTTTGCATAGAAAAATATGTCAAGGCTTTTCCAATGACCCAATAGATATACACACAAATAGATACAAAAACATGCATACATATATATACACACACTTAGCCATGCCATCAAATTGACTAGTAATTGTTTTCATTTCTTGTAGCTTCTACTACTGATTCTACAAAAGCTTATTTTAAAAATGAAACAGGTAAGTTCAGTGTATGTCTGTCTTTAGGTCATGGTACAGCACTTATTTCTTCTTGATCAACTTAATTTTTAAGTTTTCCTGGTTCAACATAAAGAGGATAAATAATTAGTATGTCCTTGTAGCATAGCATTAAGGGAGCTTGATCACACATTGATGACCGTGATTTTTTTCCTGCACTTGGTGGTTTGAAAATCAGGCCAAGTGAGTTGTGTGCATGTCTCAAATCCCAACAGGATGGAAAAACATAGGAAAAGGGGTTATGGCATTGCTACTTCCCAGATGTGTGCTGTCTCTCTGCTACCTCTCTCTCTTTTGTGTGTGTGTGTCTAAGGAATGCATACTCTCTCTAGCAATTAGAAAGAAAAAAAAAGTTAATTTATCCCTGGAATTTGGGGGCTTTTATACCATGCCATAGCATTTTTTCCCTTCCTCATCAGCTTAACTTTTTTTTTTTTTTATTTTTTCCCTTCCTCCTCACGTTAACTTTTTTTTTTTTTTTTTTTGGTCAGAGTTTATATGTGTTTGTCAGAGGAACAAAGAGACAAAGACAGTGAAAACATGCCCCTCTATGGGGCATGGTAATACCACAGTCCCATGTCCCCCATTTCTGCATCCTGAAAAGATTTGGGACATGCATATGTAGGCACCTGACATTCTTTTCAAGCCATCAGGACTGGGAGTCAAGCTGCAGATGGCTATGTGAGATCTGGCTCCATTAATCCTTTGGCTCTGGGGCTGGGCTTTCAACAACTCAACTTTTTAATTTCCCTGGTTTGAGGGAGAAAATCAGAATGGTTGGATGTTTCAGAATGCACTGAGTGACATTTAAAATGTAGCCATCACTTTCTCAGAGCCATACTAACATAGCAAAGTGTTGGTTTGGTAGGAGATGAATATAAGTTTGAGGATACAGGATATACTCAACTTTTTCCACAAATGCGTTTCTTTCATTGTGTGTCTTTTGTTTCTAATGAAGGAGGAAGCATGACATCAGGTCTCTTCAGAAATTTTATTCTTTCAGTCCATGCTAGTAGCTAATAAGAAGAACATGACATTGATTAATTATCAACGGAAAACCTTGGGCTGTGTTTTGCATGCATTTTTTTGTTGCTGTTGTTCTTTTTTTTTTTTTTTTTTTTTGGAGAGATTTTCACTGTAGGGTGCGTGCGCTCGCCAGACAGACAGAGAGAGACATAGAGACAGAAAGCGAGAAATCACCCCCCAGGGGGGATGGTCACGCCGCAATCCCTTCTCCTCCATTCTCCTCTCGGGATCTTGGGCACGCACGCACACGCACCCGGCGTGAGTTTTAAGCCACCGGGTCCGGGACACGAACCGCGGTCGACTATGTGGGAGTCCAGCGACATAGCCATTACGCTAACTGCTGGCTCCCTTGTTGCTGTTGTTCTTTAAGCCTCACAGTACTCCAATGAAGTGGCCCAGTGTTTCCCCCCATTTTATAGATGAGGACAATGAGTTAAGGTAGCTGGGTCTCTTACATTGTCACAAAGCTAGATCTGGAATTTCAGAACAGGCCATCAGATGAAGACCTCTATAAGTTCCTGACCTCTGTAAGTTCTCTATTGTTCGTCTAAGATAGAATCATAGAGTGAGGAATTCCAAAGTCCAGGCCAGATGGATAGATAGATGTAAGGAAGGGGATGGGTAAGTGCATGAGCTTCAGAGAACCACTGCCCCAGTTCTTTTAGTGCTTAGTGCATGACTGTCCATAGAGACTGACCATTCTGTGAACAACACTTTTGTCATCTGCCAAATGTGAATAATTATATCAAACTAACAGTTATTGAGGAGTTAAGGGCACAGACATGAAAAGTCTAGCACGGGGTATCTCATCTCACAGACACAGAATAAGTATCAATTTCCAGTCCATCTCTCTACATATGCACAGACCTTGACTGGAAACGTTGCCTCCAGCCTACGGGCCTTGCCTCTCTTTTGAGTATCAAATGGACGCTGGAGCGAGTTGCTGCACCAGGCACGGAGGGTCAGTGATACTTGCCTGATGAAGGGCAGGCAGTTAGGACACATCACCTGCTGAGATGCCGGCCCACACCAGGGGCTAATAATTTTGGAGATCTGACTCTAGAAAGACAGAAATTTCTGCAGAATGAGATTGAACCTTGTGATTCATTGAGCAGTCTTTCTCGCCATTGTTACTGTCTCTCAATATTTCTCATCTTTTTTCATTTTTGGGAGGGATTTTTGCTATAAGGTGCATGTGTTCACCAGAGAGACAGAGAGAGATATAAAGTGAGAAATCACCCTCTACCACCACCACCAGTGGGATGGCCATGCCACAGTCCCATCCCCTCCATTCTCCTCTCAGGATTTTGGCCCTGCATGCACATATGCCTGGCATAAAGTTTAAGCCATGACATCCCATAGTTCAAAGAATATTAAAAACAGTGATTGATAACATCACTCTCACAATGTGATACATTTAAGAAAGACAGGTGAGTGGACCATAACCTGTTAACAGCTCAGAAAACTTGGGTGACCCTTCATTCCATTTCTATAATGCTCTCTTTGTATTAAAACTCAACATAAAACTTTCCCTAAAAAAAACTGTAAATATAAACAAATTTTTCACTGTGTGCACCTTGTGTCACAACTCAGACACTCCTTTATCAGCTATGTGACTTTATATTTATGCTTCACTATTTGGGGTTTGAGGTGTTTGTTGCACTCAGAAATGCAAAATTAGAGAATGGCTAAGATTATGATCTTTAAAATCATCACTTTGCAAGCTAAATAATGTGATTGAATGTATAAAAACAAACAAACAAACAAAAACCAGGGCTTGGCACTTCGTAATCCATAATATGAGGAATACTACTTCTGTCTGTCTTCAGATTATTTGTCAAACTAGAATTAAAATCATAATAGATTATTGTGAAAAAATATTAAATTTAATATACAAAACTCTCATAATCATGCTTAGTGTTCAATTAATAAAAATGTCATGTATTACTTTTTTTATCTTCTTTTTTTGGGGGGAGAGGTTTTTGCTATAGGGTATGTGCACTTACCACAAAGACAGAGAGAGAGACAGAGAGACAGAAAATGAGAAGTCACCCCCCAGTGGGGATGGCCATGTTGCAAGCCCTTCTCCTCTATTCTCCTCTCAGGATTTTGGACACACATGCACGTGCACTAGGCGTGAGTTTAAGCCACCTGGTCTGGGACTCAAACCACTATCGACTATATGGGAGTCCAGTGACATAGTCATTATGCCAACTGCTGGTCCCTGTCATGTATTACTTTTTTTAGGAGACATGGTCTGGGTGTAAGAATGTTAACACATTATCACAGATGTTTTTGCCCAATGAACTCATTTCTTAAAAATGCATCCTTCTTTTAATATTTAGTATGTTCCCAGTGAATTAATTAGAGGTTATTGATCGACTTGACCTGCAGGCTGAGTTCTGAGTCTTTCTTTTGTTGTTGGTGGTGGTGGTGCTGCTGTTGGGTGATTACTTTAGAGTCCTGGTGCTGATGAGGTGTCACTTCAAAGCACCTCATCAGGAATCACTGTTCAGGAGCCTCTCCACATTAATATTTGTCCTGTCCCATCTACAGAGCAGGCACTGCTAAGCAGGCGACTTTTCCGGGAGGCACTGCGGCTGCAGCTCACCAGCACCTCCGCGTACTACACCTACCTCCTCCTGCTCCTCAAGAGTGCGGCCTACTCTGCCGTCATCACCCTCTGTGTGTTCAGAAGAGCAGCTGTGTGTGGCACTGGGAACAGTGTGTCATAGACAGAGGCACAAAGAGGTGGTCTCCTCACCATTCCTTGTTCCTAAAAACATCTGCTGAGGATCTATCTGGGCGTTCAGTCTGCATTTGGGCTCTTTCAGTTTTCCTGTGTGCTATTATTCTCTCATGTAGTTATTGCGAAATGGTTTTTGTAACTACTGGGCAAACTGAGGAGATCTCTCTGTAACAATAACAAGGAGCAGCCCACGGCAGCCTGACACCACCCTCTGCATCCCCTCCATCAGCTCTGTCGGCCGGCCACGTGGTCACAGCCCCAGTGCATTGTCCACATAGCCGCTAGTCACGTCCCTCGGGGTCCTTTACCCAGATAACTCCCAGGAAGCCTCCTGTTTACCATATTCTGAAGCCACCTTCTTTGCTATTTAAGTTCTGAGTTTGTTTTTTTATAACAGATACAATAAAAAAGTAAATTGAAAGTGTCCTTTTCTTCATGTGTCTCTTAATTTAATGAACTGAATGGAAAGCCCAAGGTAAAGAATAGCACAACGCCGAAACTGTGACAGTGAGCATTCGTTGTACTAGTGGCCCCACACCACATTCATTCTTCTCTTAGATAGTGGTTATGACACTTTCCTTGGACACTGGCTCCACAGGGAGCTGCAAGCAAATGAAATAGCTCAGCGCCTCGCTTCTCCCTCAAGGGTCACCAAGTTCCAGTTCATTAGGTTTGGAGCCCTGACACCATCCTATGTACCCTGCACTACGTGTGCTCGGTCTGTGCTAGTGTTTTGTAACCACCATGGTTCCTGGCCCTCACAATGTCTCCTGGAAACAAGAGTGATGGAGGAGTTAAGCACATGGAGTCTGGTCCCAGGGAGGCTGGCGTTGAATCCGGGGTTTGGTGTTTAGTATCTGTCAGATCTCAGGCGAGTTGCAGCACTGCGAGCCAGAATGTCCTCATTTATAATTTTTTTTTGAAAGGTTTTTGCTATAGGGTGCATGCACTCGCCAGAAAGACAGAGAGAGACAGAGAGACAGAAAGCAAGAACGCGGCACCCAGGGGGGATGAACAACTACAATCCCTTCTCCTCCATTCTCCTCTCAGGATCTTGGGCACATACGTGCATGTGCCCCATGTGAGTTTAAGGCCCCGGGTCCAGGACTCAAACCGCGGTCAGCTACATGGAAGTCCAGCGACATAGCCTTTACACTAACTGCTGGTCCCCCTCATTTATAATTAAGTTAGAACATTTGTCTCCTGGGTTTGTGTGTGGATTAGGTGAGTTGGTAATATTTGGTGCATGCAAGTCCTCAAGAGTATTGGTAGGTGCTCTTGGTAGCTCTACTTTAGAAATAGTTGATACCACACACACATGCACATGCATGCACAGACATGCACACACACACACACACACACACACACACACTGATGTGATCTCTTTTACTTCTTTGCAGAAAGGCAGAAAGGTTAGCTGGGATGGAGCAGGGACGTGCTAAGAGTCTATCATGCGCTAGGCGATGCACAGTATTAATCCAAATCTTATATTTCTAAATTCCTACCAGTCAGAAATTCAGAGTAATAGAGAACCAAAGTTACTGCTCCAAGATAATACAGTTCAACAAAAAGGCTAGAAACGCAACATTCTCATTAACCTGAAAATTTGTGTGAGTAGATGCATGCTTCCTGTCATGTTTTAGACTATTTTTGTTTGTTTGCTTTTTCTGTTTTGCTTGGCTCATAGTCAGTAGCTCCCATTTAGTGGCATCAGGAATTCTTCTAGGCAGCTTGTGTCCTGTCCCTCCAGCTCTCAACTTCCCTGCAATGCCAGCATAACTTTTGCTTCACTGATGAGAAAGCGGAGGTTCTGAGAGGACAAAAGCCACATTCAGTGTTAACACTGAGTCTGAGTCCACACGATGCCCTGTCTGTCTGGGGTAAGACTTGCTGCTCTGTCCCTTCTACCAGCGGGTCTCCTGTTACAGCCTTTAAGTGTCCCTGAGGGGCGGGTCACATATAACCTATGCACTCCTGGACTTTGTCACTGGCCGGGCTTCAGGACTTTAACATTTCCTTTGGTAATTCTAATGGGCAAGCAGAGTTGAGATGAGCAAGAGACTGAAATAGTTCCATACCTTTAGCTAGGCTGTCTCAGATGGCAAGATGTGGGGAGTTTTCATAGCCAGTACATTTATGAACAGACATGAAACGTGTGCGACTTCCCTTTACCTGGGAAGTATTCTCACCATTTGATCCATCGATTTCCTAAGGAAATAAAATCTTTTGTGCAAAGATGTTATACCACTATATCTTATAGCAATCCTAATTGTAAGCCAAATGCCTAATAAAAATATAATAACATAATAAAACAAAGTATATCTAATAATTACAAAATAAAGTATTTTACATGAAAGAACAATGTTCATCTTCAAAATGTAGATTAAAGAAATGGAAAATTAAACAGAACATATCTAAAAGAAATATGCATATTATCATCCTATTAATTTTGTTAGATAATACAGTTGTGTGGTTAAAACAAAAACAAAAACACTCCAAAAATTCTTTAAGCCATCTTGCTTCCCCACCGTCTTTACCTCTCCCCTGTCTTACAGGTCATGCGCGTTTCTCATGCATCCTTCTAGTTTCTAGTTATGCAAATATGAATGTACAGATATAGACACATGTAACATATATGCACATACATATATTCAGCTTTCGCTCCTTACGCTCCATAGCACATCATGTACTGCACTCTCTTGGAGTTGGCAGGGCTGGTTCTAGGACCCACAGTTCTCCAGTGAAATTGTCGTATTTCCATAGAACCACAGCGCCTTCTCCCACGGACTTAGAGCATCCCAGATTATGTGTGCCATCTATTACAGTGAAAATACTCGCTGCTACACCATTTTATATTTTATTTGTGTTATTTTATTGTATTATTATTTTTTAATTTTTTCCTAAATATATTTCACCCATGGTTGGTTTCAACTGTGGATCCAAGAAACACAAATACGGGAGGCCAACTGTGCGCTATTCTGTGCTCGTGGTAACCCACAGGTCCTAGACTCGTTTTGTGTCGTTAGACAGGGACAGGTAAGCAGCTTCCTGACGTTGTAATGGTGAACACAGAGTACTTCACCCGTTCTTTGAAATGGTCCATTGGATTATATCCAGTCTTTTTTTACATAAAAATGTTGCATCATTTTGAACACACGCACTGGTGATCTTGATAGGAATTGCCAACTTGTCCTCCATCGAGTGCTGTTTTCCTTCTCTACCACCATGTGTTAAAGCTGAGAGTGTGCTTCCAAGCAACAGGGCTTTGTTAACCTGGCAGACGAAAAATAATTTCTTTTGATTTTATAAGTTTTTATTTGTTTATTTATTTTATGAGACAGAAAGAGACAGAGAGAAAGAGAGAGAGAAACAAGCACCATTAATGGAGTCTCATGCCGTGATCCCCCCAGGTCTCCCAGCCTGGATCATGGACATACACATCCAGAACGCACAGACCAACCATGAACACGAGCCCTGACCATCCACGGGAGCCCAGCTCCGCAGAGCAGGTGCTACACCACAGCAGGCCTTGTGGTTCTAACTTGCTTTTCCCTTACTGGGAGTGAAGTTCAACAACTTCGTACACGCTAAGGCATATTCATTTCCTGTGTGTAACATTTCTTCATTTTTCTCAACCGCTTTTAGTAGTAACTCTAATGTGAATGACTCCCTTGATGTATATTTCCACCACAATGGATTAAAGCAAAATGTTTAGAGGGTTGCAGGTAGGTGACGGTTGACAAACAATTGTATGTTTTCTATGATCTCTAAGGAATACTTCAAAGTAAGAACTCTTATACATTAGAATGACAACGATGTCTTAGTAGGGAAATTAATTTTTTTGTTTGTACAATCAGCATCAGTTTCTGTGAAACAGGTTCTAAAGATCAACCAGAAACAAACAGAGTAAATATAACTTAAATCTATCTATTCCTTGAGCCATATGGATCGATCAGAACTCTTTAAGTCAAACGCTCTCGATTTCAGGTCATTTCTACATAGACGCAGGGAGGACATTTTAGAATCACTAAGAAGTTTTGGGGCTGATTTCACTGGCCAGGGTACTAGACAACATCTCTTGTGGTTTCAAGCTTCTTAGCAACTTTCTCCCCACTCAGCTGGGCTGCCTGAACTTCAGTAGCACAGAGGGGAGTGGTGGTGGTGGAGGCAGAACGGGTGGTGGGAAGGTGCTGGTGTGGCTGATGGTGTTCTATTTTCTCAGGCACCTTTTGTTTACATGCTCAGTTCATTGTGGTTGATTTGTGGAAAATGCTCACAGTCAAGCCAGCCCTGTGAGTTGGGGTGTGCAAGGGGTGGCTGGGTGCTGCAGGAGAGAATGAGGACAGTTACACCACAGCCAACTTGGCTTGCTTTCAGAAGACCACAGCACAGCTAAGGGAAAGTCAACATCCAACTTTACACAGAGGAGATGCTTGTAACTCCCTCTTCGTGCTGTGGGGGGCTGGGCTCCCTGCGCTTGCTAAGCTCAGCTCATTAGCCACTGTGCGAGATCGGGATCTGATGCCCAGGGGCGTTGAGACCCTGTCACAGTCCACTCCCATGACGTTGTTCTGAAGGAAAGACAGAGAAGGATATCAGTCTAAGGGTATTGAAGAGAATCCCTAACATCCCATGTTTGTGCTCTTCTGAAGTATTGGATGAACACCGGCTGGTAGCATTTGGTTTTATTTTCTCAGGGTAGACAGAGGCCACAATGCCATGCACCTATGAGCACAGGTGCCTGTGGACAACAGGAATATCCTTCTTTCCCCACAGGAGCCCAGAGATGCAGATGCCCTGGGATCCCCTGTGTCACTGAATGCCACACACTGAACTGTATAAAGTCCTTCTACAGGGACAATGACTTCTGAGTCATGGAGCCTGATTGACTCAAAGATATCAACATCAGATAAGTAAGAGTGAGGGATCAGCCAGAAGAGGCAGCTCAGCACTGTGCATAGAGGGCCGGTGCCCATCCCCACACTGGACCCAGCAGGTGCTCAGGCTTACTGTCTAGTCCTGGAGGAGGTAAAACTCCATGGTCAACTTCTCGGCCTGCCATGGCTTCTCTTGGAGACGGCCTCTACCCTGAGTGAGAGCTCTTCCTCAGG